AATACTTACTTGTCCATCCCAGGAAATTTCTAAAACAGCTACCTGGCCAACTGACTGGAAGAGAATCATATTTATACCCATTCAAAGAATTATAGAACAATATCATTTTATAAATTATAGAACAATATAAATTATAGAACAATATCATTTTTATCACACCCAAGTAAAATTTTACTGAAGTTCATGCAATAAAGATTGCAGTAGTACATTGACAAGGAGCAGCCAGAAGTTCAGGCCGGATTCAGAAACAGGTGTGAAACAAGGGACATCATTGCTATTGCCAGATGGATCTTGGCTGAATTCGGAGGATACCAGAAATATGTTTATTTGTGTTTTACTGATTATGCAGAGGCATTGGACTGTGTGGCCCATAAAACATTATGGATAGCCTTGATAAAAATGGAAATTACAGAACACTTGATTTTGCTCATGCTGAATCTGTACATGAATTAAGAGGCAGTTCTTTATTTTTTTTAATCCTTTTATTAGGGGCTCATACAACTCTTATCACAATCCATACATACATCAATTGTGTAAAGCGCATTTGTACATTCATTGCCCTCATCATTCTCAAAACATTTCCTCTCCACTTAAGCCCCCAGCATTAGGTCCTCATTTCCCCCTCCCTCCCCGCACCCCCTCCCTCATGAGCCCTTGATAATTTATAAATTGTTATTTTGTCATATCTTGCCCTGTCCGATGTCTCCCTTCCCCCACTTTTCTGTTGTCCACATATAGTTCCTTGTAATTGGTTCCCTCTTTCCTACCCATTCTCCCTTTATCCTCCCAGTATCACCACTCACACCACTGGTCCTGTAGGGATCATCTGCCCTGGATTCCCTGTGTTTCCAGTTCCTATCTGTACCAGTGTACATCCTCTGGTCTAGCCAGACTTGCAAGGTCGAATTCATGTCATGATAGTGGGAGCGGGGAGGAAACATTTAGGAACTAGAAGAAAGTTGTATGTTTCACCGTTGCTACATCGCACCCTGACAATCTGGAGGAGAAAACAAGAGGCATTTCTTTGAACACAACAAGGGAATACCCCATGACTTAAAATCAAGTCAAAGTGTGCATTAAGGTTGTGTGTTCTAATCATTCGTATTCAGTTTGCTGGGAAAAATTAATCAGAAAAGCTAAATTATATGAAGAAGAATGTGGCATCAAGTTTGGAGGAAGGCTTATCAAAAACCTGCGATGTTCAGATGACACAACCTTGCTTGCTGAAAGTGAGGAAGATCTGAAGCACTTCTAATGAATCTCGAGGATTGTAGCCGTCAATCTGTGTGGCGCTCCGCCAGCCGTAAGCTACCTGTGATGCACAGAATGACTGCTGAAGCCACATGGCTGAGTCATGAGGAGAAGAGAAGGTTCTCAAGGAAGAGAAGATTTCTAAAGCTCTTGCCAAGTCTCAGCTTGCTGGTTTTATTAACATGCCCCAAAGGGGAAGTTTTGGCATTACAAAGTTTCTAATATGAGAACTGTACCAGAACACAAAAACATTAGGCCCAAGAAGTTCTCAAACTATCAAAGCGTTGTTAACATATTCTAACCTAAGTGGTGATTCCTATGGTTTGCTGCAAGGAATCTCCTTTTAACTCAGCATTTGCACCAAGTGCCGGGAACATTCAAACATGCATGCATTCAAGATTGAATCAAAGCCTTTTTAGCCAAGGAACCCAAATTAAAACTTAATGTAAAGAAACAAAAATCCTCACAACTGGACCAATAGGTAGCATCGTGATTATCTGCTCTAATGTGTAAATGGAGTTCATCATGTATGAATCGCAATCAATGTTCATGGAGGCAGCAGACAGGAGATCAAATGACACATCACATTGGGTGAATCAGCTGTGTAAGACCTTTTTAATGTGTCAAAGAGCAAGGAAGTCAATTTGAGGACTAAAGTGTGCTGACACAAATCATGGCATTTTCAATTGCCGCATATGCATGTGAAAGTTAAGCATTGTATGAGGAAGACAGAAGAAGAATTGATGTACTTAATTTATGGTGCTGCAAAGAGTATTCAAAGTATCCCGGGCTTCCAAAAGAATGAATCTGTCTTGGAAGATGTATACCAAGAATGCTTTATGGAAGCGAGGATGGTGAGACATCATCCCCTCATGTGACTTGGTCCCTCAGGAGGGATCAGTCTCTGGAAAAGGATATCATGCTTGGTAAAGCCGAGCCATGAAAAATAAAAAAAGAAAGCAAGGCATGTACTGCCATCAAGTTTATGCTGCCTCATAGCAACCCTATAGAACAAGGTAGAACTGCACCTGGGAATTACCAACGCTATAATTTTTGGGGAGTGGAAAGCCTGGTTCTTCTCCCATGAGTAGACTGGTAGTTTCAAACTGCTAACCTTATGGCTAAAATCCCAATACCTAACCACTGCACCAGCTAGGGCTTCCATTGGTGTTGGCAATGTGATGGGGGAACTATAGAATAAGCAGACCCATTGACTCGGCGGCTACAATGATTAGCTAGAACATGACAGCGATTTTGAGGATGCACTGCCTTCTGTTGTAGAGTGGGAACCAATTCAATGGCACCTGCCAACAGCCTGATTCTTCAGTCCAACAGCCTGATTCTTCAATCCAGCTCTTTTGACAGCTCTCTCAGGACGTGTTCTTGCTTCTTTCAGCACAGGTCCTATAAGCACAAAGTCCTTTTATCCTATAAGCTCTTGCTCAATTTATTTTTCATCCACTATTTTTGCTTTGGTAATTAGCATTACAATAAGAATTACATTTTGCATTGCCACGAGCATCATACATATTCACATGTGGATACACCCACCCATATCCCTGAATATCTAAATGAAAAGTTTCATGAAACAGTATCCTTGTTACTTCTATAAATACTCTAATATGATTTCTCTCTTCTCTTTCATTTGGGAACTGTGATTGTAATCCAAAAATAGGGTTTACTGCACTGTAATTTTACCATAACTTAGTTTGAGAAACACTGGTCTAGATTATTCCTAAGGCCAATATGAAATTGATTGTTGTGCTTACATTCTATTGAGTCAGTTCCAACTCACATTGACTGTATGTACAACATGAACCCATAATTACAGCCATTGTGCCAATCCATCTCATTGAAGGACTTCTTCTTTATTTATGACACTCAAATTTATAAAGCCATGATACCCTTCTCCAGGGACTGGTCCCTTCTGATAATATGTTCATAGTACAGACCACTCATTCTCACCAACCTGAACTCTGAGGAGTGATCAGGCTACTCTTCTTACAAGACAGATGTTTGTTCAACTGGCAGTCCATAGTAGCTTCAATATTTTTTGCCAACAGCATAATTCAAATCTTCTACATCAATTCTTCTACAGTCTTTTTTATTCACTGTCTGGATTCTACATAAAATTGAAAATATGGCTTGGGTCAGGTAGACATTAGTCTTTAAAATTAAATCTTTGATTTTTAACTCTTTATTTAAAGTGGTCTTTTGTAACAGTTTGCCTAGTGTATTGTATCTATTTCTTAACCACTGCTTTCACGGGTATTGTCTGTGGAGCCAAGTAAAATGAGATCACGACCAACTTTAATCTCTTTTCCATTTATCAGGATATAGTTTACTATCAAATGTGAGGATCGCTGCTTTCTTTATGTTGATGTGCAATCCATACTGAAAACTGCAGGCATTGATTTTCATCATTTAGCTTTCAGGTCCTTTAAACTTTATGCAAGCTAGGTTGTATGAGGGGGTACCCCCATAAAAACAGATTTCCCCCCCAAAGCTATGTATTTCAATTATTTTACATAACTTTATCACCTTCAAAATACTCTCCATTACACTTAATGCATTTTCCAAATGTATTATTCCATTCAAACTCATCTGTTTGGATGGCTGACAGCACCTCCCTTGTTTTTTTCCTTCACTTCTTCTTCATTATCAAATTGTCCTGATGCCATGTTCTTCTTCATATAATCCAGCTTCTCAGATTATTTGCTCAGCATGCAGTTTGAATCAATATGGTGAAAGGTACAGCCCTGGCACATATCTTTCCCTATTCTAAACCATGCAGTAGCCACTTGTTCTGTTTGACCCTACTGGTTTATGTAAAGGCTCCACAAAAACACAAGAAGTGTTCTGGGTTTCCCATTCTTAATACTATATATAGAATATTGTCTGTTTTGTATTGTGTGTATGTGTTATTTTTCCCACCATGTTTGAGAAACCTAAGAATAATACTCTGTTGTTTTTTCTCAGTGTCTCTTACTATATGAATATTAATTATGCTTTTCATGAAGTAGTTGCTCAATAAGTATTTCTGGAGAAAAGAAAAAGAAAAAAACTACATGTCTCAGAAAATGTTAACTATGCTCAGCTAAATTGTTATTATTTAGGAATTTAATCAAATAGAGATAAGTTTGGTTATTTAAAAGAGAGAATTTTTAAGTAAAAGTCATGTTTGTCAATGACATAATCAACTCTGATAGAAACATAAAATTATTCATATTTTTTAACATTAAACGTGAAAATTAATTGTGTTTTTGTGGTCAAGAGTTGGGCTGTGATCCACTAGCTCAGCAGTTCAAAACCACCAGCTGCTCTGCAGGAGAAAGATGGGGCTTTCTACTCACATTAATAGTTACAGTCTGAGAAACTCAAGGTGGCAGTTCTACCCTGTCCTATAGGGTTGCTATGCAGTGAGTAGGTTTCCAGTTTCAGAACTCCTGATTGCTTCTTAATTACTGTCAATCATCTTGAAATTTGATTCCATTGGTGAAAATCAGGTGTAGATCTCAAATTAATACTGAGTTCAAGGTCAAATTCATTGCAATAGGAAAATTGGTTCTAAATCCTTACCCTACTAAATGGGGTTAGCAACAGTATATATACAATCAAGAACTGTCTTTAAATGGTTATAACAAACTTAACAAAACTATATTCAATGCAATGCTGACTTTCTTAGTCTGTTTGCCTAAATGCTTATATATTTTAAAGGAAATATTTAACATGTTTACTTCTTCTTTCAGTAAACACATCAACAACAGTTTCTGCAGCAACTCCGGCAACTGTAAGAGAAGCCACCACAAAATCATTAACAAGTTCAGCTACAAAATCAACAGTTGGAACATCACCTACAGGTAGGATTAACAGTTTCCAGAGTTTACACTTACATTAACAATTAAAATGAGTAACACCTACCGAGCTTACTCATAGTAAAGTAATTTGGGCCCTTATCTTTGCTTGCTATGAAGCTATGACGGTTTGTAGTATTTTAGCATGTTGAAATTGGCTATTGTTTTAGACTGAATACAGAACTCTGTATTCAATCTTCATGAGCTCCATTGGTTATCTTTCTTTGGAAGGAGGGTAAGACTTCATCTTACGTACTTTGGACATGCTGTTAGGAGAGACTGGTCATGGAGAAGGACATTCTCCTTGGTTACGTAGAAAAGTAGTGAAGCAGAGGAAGGCCCTCAAGGAGGCGGACTGACAAGAGGGCTGAGCATGGCTCAAGCCCAGGACACCGGGGCAGGGCGCAGCACTGGGCAGTGGTGGCTTCTGTTATGCGTCAGGTCACTAGGGGTCGGAATGAACTCAATGGCACCTAACACCACCACCACGACCACCACCAACAACAACATTTCTTTGGATTACTTCCTGTTTGAGAATGATCCAATTTGAATGCTGTAATGTCATTATCACCAAGTTTAATTTTAGAGAAGAAAAATAAGTCATAAAAATATCTCTTTTCTCATTTTCCCCTTAAGCAACACAACCAACCAGGTGAAGTTTGATAGGTGACTGAGCAAGTTTATTGGTTGTATTCTGTTGCTAGTGTATTGGTTTGGTAGATTTCAGTAGCAATGCCATCATTATTGCTACTGGTCTGAATGACAACAGCCATATCATGCTCAATAGTTCTAAGTGTTAAAAGGGATTACCTAGCCCACCCATAAAAACTAAAAAGAGTCAGTATGACTGTTAAATTAAAAATCTCAGAGGTTATCCATGAAATACCTAACTACATTGCCCACCTAGCAACACACACCAATGTGCTATGATTTGATGCCTTTTGAAGGGAGATCAAAGTTCTCCCTTTATGTTTTTCTGTTGTGTTTTTCCTTCATTTTTCATTTTATTAATTGCTCAGGTATTTTGAAGTATTTCACCTCTATATGCTATACATACAGCTCAAAAATATGAGTAATTTGTTACATAATTATAATGTTCTCATCACCCTCCTTAAAAGAATAATAAAGTCTGAGCATCCATTTGTAGCCATTTAAAAGAGTTTTAGAAGTTAAAATCCAGCAACCACAAATATGGCAGGTCCAGGTGGAGGTTAAAGCAAGGAAAATAAGCTAATTTAGGAATCCATAAGGAGGTCAGCTGAGTGTTTGTAGAGAGAAATGGAAAGGGAAAGGCAGTTCTGATGCCCACAAGCTCTTGTGATCCAGTCTGAGAAACAACAAGCCGGTTCAGTGGTCGTGCTTGATGGGGGTGCTCAAGCAGCTTGCAGATCAGCAGTGAGAACGGGAGAATGGCATTAACTTGATGGTCATTTGTGTGTGGAGGTTAGGTGAGTTGGGCTGCAGATATCAGGTATTGTCCATGCTCCTAACAGCAAAAGAATTAATAAATAGATCATGAAAACATGACAAAGAGCATCCTGAATTCTCATATTGAAGCAGATATATATTTAGCTTCCTAATTCCGGACCCATACCGAGTTTAAGTCATCTCTCTTAGATCAGTCAGCACCACAGAAAGCATGTCTTCAGTGGGTGATGCTGCAGGCCCCCTTCCTTGTAGCTAGCGTGGTTTTCCCAAGCACACACATTTGTACCAAAAAAATATATGAAATGGAGGACTTTATTTTTAAGTCTCTCTGATCACACTTTACTTGTTTGAAGAGCCAACGCTGCTTGGTTTAATAGTATTTGTGTGTATCCACGGAGTCCCAGCGTGGCACAAAAGTGCTGGGCTACAAGTAAAAGGGAGTCTCAACCCACCCACAGGCAACTCAGAAGAAAGGCCTGGTAATCTGCTTTATAGAAGTTGCTGCCTTGAAAACCCTCTGGAGCGGTTGTTCTCTGTGCTCAGGTTCGAATCAATTCAAGGGCAACTAGTTGTAATGCTCATGGCTCTCCAAGGCACACACCTTCCTTCCTCTGCCAGCAGTACAGTGATGTTCTCACATTGGGAAAGGTGAGAAGTGTTGCTGTGACCATCACGTGGGCTTGGTCCCTAGCAGACTTGCTTTCAGAGGCCCACACAGTTAAAGAACGAGCATGTCTTGACTTCTTCCTCAAAGGACATCAAACGTATTGTGCACTGTCTATTCACGCCAAGAATTTGGTTAATGTTAGATATCAGCAGTATAAACTGAACTTCTAGAAGGCAAAGGTAAACTGAAACTGTGTTCTAAAAGATGTAAATATTATTCAATTTGATCATGAAAAATGTAATAGCCATTTCTTTCAATGAGCTGGATTATAGTCTAGGAATCCAAATTTCCCACTTGTTTCTGTGACTAAGGCCAGAAGATATTTTGGGACATCTCACCTACACTGGGTGCCAGAAATAACGATGCTTAAGTTGCACTTCCACTCTAGAAACTAAGATAAACTAGAAAGATATGAGTTTTTAAAAACCATTCCTAAAGGTTTTCTTGCTTGATTAGTGCGAAACACGTCATTTTGGAAACCTCATTTTTCTCCTTAACTTTTTCTTTTCTACGCTGTCTTTATATCCCTGCTTTTTCTACGCTGTCTTTATATCCCTGCTTTTTAGTTCGAAAGAAGATGAGTTACCCTGGATATCTTAGAACACTGCTCTTTTTATGTTTTCTTTTCGTAGAATTTCAAAGCAATAAAATTGACATTGTTCTTTAATGTTTCTTCCCAAGATGCGAAATGTTTACAAATACCACATTTTCTTGAAAGAGTCATGACCTAAATAGACATAAACATGAATCTCCAAGTTTATTTTGGATAATATTATGATTGCTAATTTAATAAACAATTTTACAGAGATTATAATAAGAAATTCTAATGACTTTACATTTTATAAACCAATTTATTCAAACATTGTATAATTTCTCTAAAGACATTTAGATAATGCATTCACTTAATGTTCAGATTAACTGTTTACCTATTATTTAACCATTTGAAAGCAATTAATCATCACTTTTTTATATAAAATTAAGAGCATTCACAAACAAAGGCAGTTACTAGGTTATGCATGACTTCCCTTCCTAGAGCTGTATTAAATGAAGTACCACTTGTATTTAAGTCAAAGCAATTAGGTACAGTTCATATGTAAGGTCAGGTAGTCAAATATTAGTTTTAATATATAGTAAGTACATACAGTACTTTTTCATAAATAACACATGCCTTCTATGTTTGCTAGTCAAACACTCCCTCTCAATGTTTTTTGAACACACTATTGGTTTTTACAGCAATATGTATATATGTGTGTGTATGTATATATATCATAGTTGCACTTACAAAAATATCTTTCAAGCAGAAGGACCAGTTGGCAAACACGTAGAAAGTGTGTATTGTTTGTGAAAAATGTTAACGCAACTTTTTTATACATAAAGCAAATTAAAGAAACACTTCCAGATACATTAAATCTCTATAACATTGTAATATAGTAATTATAATAATGTTTTGATGCATATCACAATGTGGCGTCCATTTTTTATTATGAAACCATTCTATAAACTTCATATTTTTAATATAATAGACATTACAGGGGTTGGGCCATATTTATTGATTTTATGTAAATCAGTTAATAACCTGAAGACTGCCTATACCAATAATACTGCAATATCTTGCTCTTATAATAACAAATATGCATTTATACTTAGAATCTTAGCATATCTAACCCATAGGATAACTTTACTATACATTATGTGCAGAATAGTTATTCATACTTAAGAGCAAATATTTTTATATCTACAATAATTTAAAATAAAATGTGCCCTGTCTCTATAATGAATATTGAGATGCTGATAAGAAATAATAATTAATATGACCACAGATTCACAAACAAGGTCAGGAACGCCATGAATGTCAGCCATTTCACACTTCAGTTTTGCTAATACCAAAGCTGACGCCGGAACTTAATTGAAATGTGACTGTATACCAAGGGTAACACTGAAATTCAGCTCACAACCAAACAGGAATCCAGAATAGGTATGAATGAAAGGAATAGAAAACTATGGAAACTCAAAGATTGCGCACATTTGACACGTTTCTAGGCATATCCATCACTATTATTAAATGTGTCCTCATTAGTTCCTGTAATTTGTGTGCTTTGCATTTTAAAACAATGATGAGACACATGCCAAATGAAAGATAATGAGAAGGTAGTTTTTTAAATTCTGCTCAGCCTGTTCGTGATCACAAGAACCCTAAGAGTAGTGTTGACGTGGAACCTTGCACACGTCTTTGGGCCCATTTGTATTCTAACCTCTTCATCTTTCTTATTTTTCTATCAGGGAACTATAAAATCTCAAGCCTATCATTTAGGAAAAAAATTTCCTTTACTGGTTTCTTCTATTTAAAGTAGCCATACATGTGTCTAGAAACTTATAGCAAATAATTCATCAGCTTATTTTTTTCTACACTTTACAACTTAGCTCATAAAATATGCACAAAACAGCCATTTTCCTTTGCCAAAATAGCCTACATCCCCTACGTAGGAGTGACAAAAGAGCACCAACGTTCACCACCTTCTTGGGCGTGTTTGTTGGTTGTGTGTAATGTCCTGTGTGAATGAATTTCTTTGAAACAACTGAAGACCCACTTCATGACAGGAATTATTCTTGATACTCTTCAGATTTTCAAAATGATTCAGAGTTGGATATTGCGCTCAATAATTTAGAAGATGCTTTGGCTCAGAGTGAGACCACCATGAATGTTTCATACATCAACAAATCTCCTAATTACAGGAGTGTGCAACTTCCTTTATTATTTATGTTGATTTGCAACTTTCACTGCTATACCCAAATCAACAAAATGATATTTAATTCTGAATGAATGATATGTCACTTGGACTTCTTAATGTCCAGGTCATTTTTCTAATAGGGAAAAGTAAAATGACTTGCTGTTATTGGTTTTATTTTTTTTCTGTTTATTTTAAGAACCTGCCTACATTCTGTAGGTAATATTTATTCCTGGGGTGTACTGCAAAACATGTGTACTTTTCTTTATCAGACTATGCAATAATCCAATATTTATATACCGGCTTTGGGGGGAAAATGAGCTGGGAAACAGAATCATTTAGCAAAGTCTACCCAGTTCTTTTCCACAGGGATGCAGTGGCCCTCCAAATTTGAATTACTTTACATTATTTCTTCATCAGATAAGATGAGATAGTATTTAACAATAGTGTCTATTTTATAGAACTAAGAACTGACAAAGAAATATTAAACTCATCTTTGCCACCAACAAGTCCTTCATTAAAAACACCAGCTAAAGTTACAGGTAAGTAATGATTAATTTTGCCAAAAATGTATTTTATTCAAATATAATTGACAGACTACAATATTTGCTTTCTAAAATAAACACTTCAGTGTTTCAGTAAACACTAAAGTGAACTACTGAAAATTGTTGCTCAGTACATTCACATTTACAATTATTACTATTAATTATAGAATATTTTCATCACTCCAAAAAGAACCCACATACCCATGAACATTCACTTCCTATTTTCCCTTCTTCTTGGCGATCACTAATCTACTATGTTGCTATGGATTTACATATTTTAGATAGTTCATGTAAATTCAATAATGAAATACATGGTATTTGTGCCTGACCTCTTTCACATAGCATATTATTTCAGATTTATCCATATTGTAGCATGTATCAATATTGTGTTCCTTTGTGTATTGTGTATTAATAGATAAATACTACTTGATTGTATTGATATACCACATTTCTCTATTCATCAATTAATAAACATTTGAACTTTTCCACTTTCAGCTATTGTGGATAATGCTGTGTTGAACATGCATGTATAAGATTTTGCATGCATTCATTTTCATTTCACTTGGGAATACTCACATATCTAGGCATGTCATTGCTAAGTTACAGGTAGAAGGGAAAAGAAGAATCAAGTACTGAAAAACCAACAGGACATTGTCTGATATAGTGCCTGTTACTTCTGGGTAATTCCCGAGTCTCCTGTCAGCATATCCAATCAGTGATCGGCTGAAGGCAGGCTTACAAGCTCTTCTTAAGCATGATAATCATTGATTTCTAGCATTCATTTAGGTGTATTTACTATACTAGGTAGGGGAAACATTCAATACCTATAATCCAGTAATAATAATAACCCTTAACCATTTTAATAATGCTAAAATTTCATATTCTCTTCCCCACCACTGGACGGAGTCTCCATTTAGGGGTCTCTGGCAGGGTGGATCGCGTAGGTCCTGGCTCCCTATTAATCATGCATTGCTTTGATCTGGGACTCTTGCCCCACACCACTGTTCTCTCCTCAGGGAACACATAACCGTTCTCACCTTTAGCTCCTTCTAAAACCGGAAACGCACTGCCCCTGAGTCAATTCTGACTGCCAGCACACACAGAGGACAGGGTGGAAGGACGCCAGTGCTCCGTGACTGTGAGAACAGCCAAAGTAGCCATCTAACCATCAAACGTTTCCTTCACGCGCCCCTTCGCTCTTTCTCCTACAAAACCCCGTGCTTCCAGGAATCCGGAGCATTGAAACGATCGGTCTCCCACAGCCCTATTTGTCGTCTGGGTTCCCTAACTTATTGCAATGACCACACAGAACTCACAATGGTCATGATCGTGCCGTTTATGTTGGAGGTCATCAGCTTGCAGTGCAGGTGGAAATGCTCAACAAAAAGTTGTTCAGTCAGGTCATGTTGTAAACTTCTTTTAGGGCTATTAAGAAATGTGCAAAAGGCAGGCCACTCTCCTAGCAGCCTCACCCTGAGAGCACTCGGCTCTGTTCTGTGGGTCAGCTTCTCACCCCCGGGAATTAAGTGCCACAGAGCCTTGAAAGCATTCAACTCCAGCTCCAGGGGCCAGCAAGCCCTCTCCCCACACTGAGGGCCAGAAGCACAGCCCTCCCCAAAGCAATCAGCTTTCCTTGCTCTGCGGCCTGGGAAATCCAGTGTCCGGTCTCATTTCCTGGTTTCTGGCTCTCTTGCTGCTGCTCCTGGGCCATGCCTTTGGTGTCAAAGCTGTCTTCTGGGATCCAGGGTGCTCTCTGCACAGCAATCTGGAGATGCAGAAAATGCGTTCCGTTTGTGGTACTTGTGGATAGTAAGAGCCTCATCCTTTTTCATGCCGCAGGATAAGAAGCACCCACAATCAAATCCTGCCAATATGTTCCTCGACCTTCGCTTGCTCAGACCCATCAGGGAAAGGTTCTTTGGAAGGCGTTACAGAGATGATAGCTTGTAGGATCATCTTAAATAATGTATTGCCTTGCTGCTTCCTAGTGATTTTCATTCCTCTTCCATACCATCCAAGAGAGCAATCACAGAATATTTATTTCTGTGTGTCAACATTTCCTTGACTTTTAAAATCATGGACTCACACATTTTTGTGCTTCAGTTATTGATTTCTTTCAGTATTCTGTCCCTAAGGTCCATCCATGTGAGAATAGTTTCGGAGATCTGTCAGGATTCTTTAGTTTTGTCTGGCACGCCACTGTGCACTATACTATAGCTCGTTTCTCCATTCTTCCGTTGGATGGCATGGGGTCGTTTTTATCTTTTGCTATGTTACATGGTACTGAGGGGCATATTTATTTGAATCTCAGCTCTTTTCTTTCTAGAATATCTACTTATTAGTGGGATTACTGGATCAAATGTTATTTCTTCCTGTTCAAGGAAATGCCATGCCATGTTCCATAGTAATTGTAACACCGTATAGATCCACTAGCAGTGTTTCTTTCATTTTTCTCCACACCCTCATCATGTTGTAGTTTTCCTTTCTTACTGAATTTTGCTTATTAGCACTGATCTGCGATCATAGTGTGCTGTTACTGTGATTTGTATCTAATGTCTGATATCATGAACATTTCTTCAAGTATATATTGCTCATCTGAATGTCTTTTTTTGATAAGATGGATTTTAAAATTGGATTGTTTTGTTGTGCTGGTGTTAAATTTTGCAATTTGTATGTAATGTGTTTTGCAATTACTAATTATTTTCCAAAGCCTTAGGATGCTTCTGAGCTCATAGCTCCCCCATAGGACAGAGTAGAACTGTCCCTGAGAATGTAATTCTTTATGGGAGTAAAAAGTCCTGTATGTTTCCTGCAGAGAGGCTGGTGGTTTTGAACTGCCCATCTTGAATTCCACAGCTCAGTGCCTCACCACTATGTCACCAGTACTCCTTTATGATGCATATAAATATATTTAATGTTTAGGAAGTCCCTGTTATCTAGTTCATCTTCTGCTGTTGGCACATTCTGGATAGATTCAATAGTTTATTTCTGTCATTAAAAAGCCCTTACGTTTTTCCTGACCTCTCTTCTGACAAGCCTTACAGTTTTCTGTTGTACCTGTAGGTCTTTGATCCATCTTCAATTAGTTGTGAAGTATGAATCTTGTTTCATTTTTTCTGCACACTGATAGCCTGCATAATTTGTTAAAGAAACAGTTTTTTCCCCATTTAATGGATTTTGGCCCTTTGTCAAAGATAGGTAGAAAACTTTACTTCTGGTTTCTAAATTTGGTTTCATTTGTATATATTGTCTGTCAGTGTACCAATAGTAGGCTGAAGTAAGTACCATCGATACAGTTTTGAGATGAGGAAGTGTGTTTCTTCAGTAGTGTTTGTTTCAAAAGTCCCCTTTCTTTCATGATTATTTTTTCCATCTCTTTCAAGGATGAAAATCAGAAAAAAGAGAATAGTTGATGTATGCCATATATTCTAGAACAGGATTATATTATAAGGTGTATCAAGATTTTATTATATCTAGATGTATAGACTGCCATGGGTAACATTGACATTTTCCTATTATTGTTACGTCTTCCTAGCCAGGCTCATGTATGTAATTCTTTTATGTATGGTTATTCAGTTGTACGTACATTATTATTAGTTTAAATGACCATATTTTTCCTCACTTCATTGCCCTGATAAAATTAAGTAAGCATAATTATGCATGGGTTTATTGCTGGACTCTCACTTCTATTTCGTTGATAAATATGTTAATCACACAGCAGCACAGTCCACATATTCTGACTTTTATTAAGATTTACAGTAAAGAAATATGAGTCCTCCAATCTTTGTTCCTTTTTTAAAAAGATTATTTTGACTATTGGGAGTCCCTTGATTTGCCTTATGTAAGAATGTACATTCTTATAAAAGCCAACAAAGATTTTGATAAGGACTACATTTGTAGCTTGCTTTCCATAGTATTGACATCTTAACAATATTAAAATTTCCAATCATTGCACTTAAATATTTTCCATTTATGAAAGGGTGCATTAAAAGATAATAATTTTTTCATGAATTTTGAAGCCTTTCATATCTGTTTCTTTTTTTTATTTCAATGATATTTTATAATTGTTTGTATTCAAGAGCTTATTTTGTTATTTATTCCTAATTATGCTATTCTTTTTGTTACCCATTGAAAGTGGAAGAATTTAATTTTTGATCGTTCACTCCCACTGTGAAGAAATGTAATTATGTAATATTCATATATTAAGGCACCCTGGTGGTGCAGTGGTAACGCGGGCTGTGATCCGCATCCTTGGCAGTTTGAAACCACCAATACTCAGCGGGAGAGAGATGGGGCACTCTGCTTCAGTAAACAGTTACAGTCTCAGCAACCCACATGGGGGTTGCTGTGAGTCAGGATCCTCTTGATGGCAGAGAGTTTTTAAAATGTTTGTCCGCTTTAACTTTGCTGATTTTGATTACTGATTTTAGTTATTGTTCTTGTCTTTGTCAGGTGACTTTGAGTTGGCTCTATCTCACAGTGACCCTGTGGACAACAGTATTAAAGATTGGCCAGGCCTGTGCCCTCCTCCCTATTGTGTTCTGTGTGAGCCCACTGCTGCGGCCACTCTACCAACCGATCTCTTTGAGTGCATTCACTCTCTCACTGGTCCTTTACTTTACCAGGCCTGAGATCTTTCTCCAATAACTGGAGTCACCTATTACATGGTGACGGTACATAAGACAAAATCTCAACATTCTTGCTAACTAGGAATAACCTGACTACTTGCTCTAAGACAGATTTGTTTGCTATTCTGGAAGTCCATGGTACATATTCTTTTTTTCCCCAAAAACAATAGTAATTCAAATATATAATGTCTCCCAGTCTACCTTAGTCATTGTCCAGCTTTCCCTTGCATATGAGGCAATTAAAAATATCATGGTGTGAGCCAAGGAGTCCTCAAAATGACAGCTTTGCCCTTTAACACTTAAAAGAGGTCTTGTGCAAGAGTGTTGCCACTGCAATAGGACGTTTTCTGTCTTGACGGATGCATCCATGAGCGCTGATTGTGGTGGACCCAAGAAAATGAAATCCTTGGCAACTTCAATTTTTTTCTGTTTTACATGACCTTGTCTTTTGGTCTATTGTGCGAATTTCTTTCTTTACATGCAGTTGGAATCCATACTGAACGCTGTCGCCGTTGAAATCCATCAGTAATTGATTCAAGTCCTCTTTACTCTCAGCAAACAAGGTTGAATCATCTGCAGAGCACTGGTTTAATGAGCTTTCCTCTTTCCTGATGTCATATTCTTCTTCACATAGTTCTGTTTTGGAGATTTTTGCTCAGAATTCAGATCGAGTTAAGTATGGTGAAAGAATGCAACCCAGATGTGCACTGTTCCTGACTTTAAGCCAGGCGTTATGTCCTTTTTCTGCTCAAATGACTGTACCTTGGTCTATGCATAATTGTGCAGAGCACAAGTATATGTTCCACAAATCCCATTCTTTGCAATATTATCCATAGTTTGCCATGATCCGCACAGTCAAATATCTTTGCATGCTCAAGAAGGCACAGGTTAACATCTTTCTGGTATCCATTGCTTGCAGTCAAGATCTACTTGAGATTAGCAATAATATCCTTCATGCTAAGTCCTTTTCTAAATCTAGCTTGAGTTTCTGACAACACTTTGTTGATGGACTGCTGAAGCCATTTGTAGTGACCTCAGCAATTGGTACGAATGATTTTGACATTCTACTGGGTCACCTTTCCGCAGAACGGGCACTAATATAGGATCACTTCCATTGGTTGGCCTAGGTAGGAGTCTTCCAAATTTCTTGGCATGGACTAGTGAGTGCTTTCTGCACTGAACTGTTTTTTGGAACATTCCATTTAGTTTTTCACCAATTCCTGGAACTTTGTTTTAACCAGTGCCTTCTGTGTGTGCATCTTGAACTTTTCCCCTTAATACCTTTTGATATAGCTGGGGGTTGACTTTTTTGTACAATGTCTCTGTATTTCTTCTATTTCTCTTTTTTAATTTAAAAATTTATTGGCATACATGATACTATACTTCCTGAAACATGCAATATTTTGATAACTGTATCCTTCAATATTGCAACTCAAGGCATGCAACTTTGCTTGAGTTCTTTTAGTTAGAGATACACCTAAATCATAATGCCACCAAGGCTCCTTTTATCAGTCATGTCTATTTTCCTCTACTTTCTTTCATGGAATGAGCTGGTCCTTCAAAATGCCGAATTTCAAAATCTTAAGTATATTAGTGAAGTTCAAGTTGTCACTGGATGTGAACTTTAATGAAATGATGTAATTGACTCAATGACAGTGGGCTTCGTTCGGTTGGGTAGCCTATGACTGGTTACATCCCTGATCTTTGTCCATCCTTTGTGTATACTCAGGGTCCACAACAAACAGTGTCACGAAGAATGAACTTCCCACGACTAGCACAACAGTGACAAATATTCCAATTCCAAATCCTGGACCCACAATACCAAGTTCCCAACAAAAGAGTAAGTATGTGACTTTGTACTAATATGTAAAAAAGCATATATGGGAAAGGAATAGTCTCCTAATATTTCAGGAATCATTCTACTAAATGTTCACGTATTCTCCATCATATTGGCCAAACATTTGAAAACCTTCTATACTTTGTTACTCTGTTTATCCATAGCCAAAAATGATGAGAACAGAGTGAATTATAAGGAAAGTCTATCAAGAATAGGCACTAATCTATGATCTATGTCACCAAAAGATGGTCTGGGTCAACAAATTAGACAACTTTGATAAAAAGACAAATTTATGAGAAAGAAAAACAAATCTGAAGCATATTAAATTAGATCAAGTCTGGATAGATCCTCAAAAAGGAAGGACATTAATTGGAACTTCAAAATTATCCCCTGATATTTCTTAAGTGATCTAGTCCATAAAGTACTTAAAAAATAAATGATACTTTGATGCCTGATAACTGATCCCTTCAGCAGCTCGTGATCACACAAGCTGGTGTTCTTCCTCCATGTGAGCTTTGTTGCTTCTGAGCTAGATGTCCACTTGCTTACCTTCAAGTCCTCAAGACCCCAGACACTATATCTTTTGATAGCTGGGCCCCATCAGCTTTCTTCACCACATTTGCTTATGCATCTGCTTTGTCTTCAGCAATCATGTCGGGAAGGTGAGCATCATGGAATGGCAGTTTAATAGAACAAAGTACTCTTGCATTAAGGGAGTACTTGAGTGGATGCCCAATGTCCATCTGCTACCTTAATATCATATTATTGTGTGCTCACCTCTCTGATACATTCACTGAAGACAAATCAATACATTGTTAATGAGGGGGAGTGCAGACTGGGGACCCAAGACCCATCTGTAGACAGCTCGATATCCCCTTCCAGAAGAGTCACAGGGAGGAGACGAACCAATCAGGGTACAGTGTAGCAACGATGAAGCACACAACTTTTCTCTAGTTCTTTAATGCTTCCTCTACCCAAATATCATGACCCCAATTCAACCTTACAAATCTGGCTAGACCAGATGATATACACTGGTACAGATGGGAGCTGGAAACCCAGGGAATCATGAACAGATGACCCCTTCAGGACCAGTGGTGAGAGTGGTGATACCGGGAAGGTGGAGGGAGGGTGGGGTAGAAAGGGGGAACCGATTACAAGGATCTACATATAACCTCCTCCCTGGAGGATGGAAAACAGAAAAGTGGGTGAAGGGAGACATGAGACAGTGTAAGATATGACAAAATAATAATTTATAAATTATCAGTGGTTAATGGGCTTGGGGTTGGGAAGGGAAGGGGAAAATGAGGAGCTGATGCCAGGGGCTTGTGTGGAGAGGAAGCGTTTTGAGAATGATGAGGGTAACAAATGTACAGATGTGCTTGACACAATTTATGTATGTATGGATTATGATAAGAGTTGTTTGAGCCCCTAATAATATGATTAAAAATAATAATAAATAAATAAATGATACTAATCCTTTTCTCACTCTTTCAGAAATTACAGGATTAGTGAAGCAGTTCCCTTGGGAGAAAGATGGGACTTTCTCCTCCCATACAGAGTTACATTCTCAGAAACTTCAGGGACAGTTACAGTCCACACTGTAGGCTCGGTGTGAGTCAGCATTGACACCATGGCAATGAGTTTTGTTTTGTGCTGAGTAAGTCCCTGATACTGTTATCTGGAGGAGTGTCAAGGGTTCAAGCCCCTCTTTGCTCAGGTCTTGTCCCAATCACAAGTGTTTTGATGAGGACAGTATTCAGAACAAAGTCAGAGTAGAGGTTTTGTTGCTGTTTGTCACTCTGTTAGCCAAAAACAGATTGATTCAAGAAATTCTAAGTTTATTTCTGCGAGGTCTTGCAGAAGGAAAAAAGCCAGGTTTCTCCTCTGAAGCTCTTTCAGAGTTGAGACCTGACACTGGAAGTTAATATACAAGAAATATTTTTCCCCCCCCCAATGATTACAGGAAAAGATTTGCAGGTTTCCACAATGTCACAGAATACAATTGATACTCTAAAGAAAACAGGTTTTGCAATGATCATTCGGACATTATCTAGACCTACCTTTTTTGTTTCAAGCGCCATGAGACCACTATCTCCTAAAGGTTCATGTACCCTTGTTATTCCTTCCTGTGCCAGGACAACCCTGTTGATTAAGCTTAAAAGGAATTTTTACTTCAACAGCAGAAGTTGATACATTTTGGATATTTAACAAACTAAATATTAAATTATCTAATATTTCTAGTATTGATTAACAGCAAGCTAACTTGACATCATGGCTCCAACAATGGGCGCAAGCATAGGAACACTTGTGAGAATGGCACAGGATTGGGCAGTGTTTGTTGAGATAAGAACTATAAAGAGGACATGGGAGGGCAAAGGAAACTGTCCCCAAGCATAAATGCTGGCAGAACAATACATCACTTTTATAAGTGATACCACAGAAGCAGCAACTGGACCATAATTGGGACATGTGCATTGTTAGATAGAAGGGATTACAAAGTTGGTCCAGGGTCTTCTGACCAAGGCAGTCAGAACAGGACGTATAGGGCAGGACTCTTGACAGTGGGACCCCCCCGATACTGTATCCTGTAAGGACACACCCAGGCAAGCCCCTAAGAGAGACTGCCCTGTCTTGGGTTGGTTGGAGATGGGCGGAGGAAATTTACTTTCTGATTGCACTCTGCCTGAGGCTAAGATTATTTCATCATTGGTTAATGATCAGAAGGAATTCAATGGAGGCTCAATATATGGGAAACTTGCAGATGGATTTTGGGCTCAGTGTCATTTTAGCCTTCTTTGAACCAAGGTGCTTAGAATTATATTAGAATAACTCTAATATAAAGTCAAGGAATGCAAATTAAAGTTTTAATGCTGATAATGTCAGACCATCTGCTCTTGGCAGGCTTTCCATAGGACATTTCTCCTTGCTAGTAAGCACAGCCCAGGGTCATGTTTTGCACACGTCCTAGGAAACCCAGGGACAATTCAACCATTGTGAGGTAGTCGGAATATCCTGCCTGCTTTGCCCGTACCCGTTCACTCTCTCCTTCTGTTCTATTTAAAAAGAAACGTGGATTATCTGCCCATCACCTAACTTTGTCGTAGGAAATAAAGGAGAAATGTGCCTTTGCCTCTCTTTTGTGCTAGAAATTCCTTCTATGGTCAGCCTCTTTCCCCTTGCCCAACTCTAACTAGCTCCAAACCAAGCTCGCTGTCATCAAGTCAATGCAAACTCAGCAAGACGAAAAAAGGATAAGAAAGAAAATTATAGGTCAATATATTCTATTAACAAAAGTAAAAGTTTATTTTTAAAATGGTGTTATCACACATAGCTCAATAGCATGTAAAAGGAACTATGAAATATCGACAAGTGTAATTTATGCCACGTGGTTTAATACATGAAAACGAAATATAACATATAAGTAAAATCAGTCAATATAGAAAAAAACATTGTAGAAAATATATGGAAATTTTGGGAAAAAATGTAGAAAAACCTGGGGTGGGGGGAAATCTAACACCTATTCACAAGAAAATTTTTCAATAAACTAGGACTGCGAAGGAAGTTCCTTAATTTGATAAATTGTATCTATGAACCAGCCATAGATAACATCATGTTTAATAATGAAGAAATGAATTTTTCCCTTGCTCACTCTCATAACTCTTATTTAGCATTATAATTTAAGTTTCTAGGTAGTACAATATAGCAGTAACAATTTTGATACATGAAGATACAGGTATCTCCACTGGAAAGGAAGAAGTAAAACTATTTGCAAACCATATGGTCACTGATATAGAAAAGCCAAAGAATTTACAGCAAAATTACCAGAATAATAAGAGTTTTTGTGTTACAAGATACAAAATCAATAGACAATAATCAACTCCATTTTGATATATTTGCAATTCAAAAATAAAAATCAGAAAATAATTCTACTCAGAAAAGCATTGAAAAGATTCAAATATTTAGAAATAAAATTCAAATAAAGTACAAAGTTCATATACTGAAATAGAAAATATATCTATGAATTAGTAAAGATATATATAAACTGAGATATACTACATGTTCAGTGACTGACAGGTTCAGTATTATTAAAAGGAAAATATCCCCCAATTTATTATTAATTTATCAACACATTGAACATCTGACTGACTATCTTCAAGTCAATTCCAGTTCATGGCCATCTTTTGGAACAGGGCAGAACTCCCTGTGGGTTCCTGAGACTGGAATCTTTACAGAAATAGTAAGCCTCATTTTTCTCCCATGGTGCAATTGGTGGTTTCAACAACTGAACTTGTAGTTAGCAGCCTGTGTCAGTCCAGGTTGACTACAGAAACAAACTCATAGAGATTCTTATTTACATAAGAAAGAGCTTTACAGAAAAGAGCAATCGTATATTGAGGAAACATCCCAGCCCAGTCCAGATCAAGTCAATAAGTCCGATACTAGCCCATATGGTCAATATCAATCTATACATTCCTCTTCAGACTCACGAAACGCATGCAATGATGCCGAATGCAGGAAGATCACAGGGCAGTGGGTGGAAAGTCTTGTGGATTCAGTGGTGGTGTAAGCACCTTAGTGCTGGAGGGAGTCCCCACGTGGCTCCTCTGGCACCAGGGTACCAGCATAGCACAATGTGTCTTGTCAGCAGGAATGTCTGCCAGAGAGTGTGTTTCTCACCTCCAGTGAGCTGTTTATCTCCTTAGCGCATCGAAATGAGGTCATCAAGCTGTGACCTGATTGACAGGTTAAACTCCACCCCTTCACTCTTAATAGTCTCAAATTGATAACAGATGATGTAATCTCCACACAGCCCAACTACCAGGGGCAGTTGTACTCTGTCCTATAGGGTTGCTATGAGTTGGAATTGATTCCATGAAAGAGAAAGAGTGTCAGCAATCTTTTTCTAAGACAACAATATCAAACTGAGGGCAAACTGATCAATAGAAACAACCTAATCCAAAAGGCAGTGGAAATATATTTTTAAAAAGACTATAAACCCAGGA